CCAGGATTGTGGAGCAGGGGGTGAGCAATGACAGAATCACCAGGAAGGGAGGGGAGGACAGGGGACAGCACAAAGGGCATGAAGGTTGGGAAAAGAGAGATGGAGGAAACAGAGGACAGCACAGTCCCTGGAGAAAGAGGAAGCAATGCAGAGGAAGGGAAAAGAACAATGCTCTCCCATGGGAGGAGGGAGGAAGAGAAAAGATAAGGGCTCCGCTGTAGCTGCCCTTTCCCTCACATGCTCCTGGTTGGCTTTGGGCACCAAGGCAGGAATGGCATCCATGCACCTTTTAGGCTGGGGCCCATGGGAAGCAGGTAGGGCCTTTGTCACCTGGGTGAGCCCATTCTTAGCGGGGTATGTGAAATGCGACAGCCATAGGGGCAGGAGATCTTCCCCCAGGAGTGAAGCATCAGGCCCCAGATAAGCATGGGGTTGAGGGGCTGAGGCTCCCCTCTGAGGATCACCAGGTTCTCTTCTGATGGTTGTCACCCAGAAGTGCCCATCTGAGCTGGTGCCTTACCCAAGGAGCCATTCCCACCTCAGGATACCCAGGCCTTCTATGAAGGAACAGGGAGGATGCTGTGAGGTATGGGAGGAGGGAGAGGTGGGGCAGGGGGACAAAGGTCTGTCCCCCTGTCCCCTCAACTTCCTCTGCCCTCTGCCTCCCACTCCTGCTTCAGGGAGCCTTCTGCTCACTTTTGGTCTCTTGATGCAGGGAATGCAACTTTTCCCCAAGAAGGGCCCATCTCCTGCCATTGCACCAGAAGAAAAGATGTCACAACAGCAGCCACCCAGGGCCTTGGCCCTCAGCATGGGTCTGGGAAGCCACCATGTCATCCTGGGACAGGAGGGTGGGCTGTTACAGAGCAAGGGAAGGAGAGCCCCCATCAACAAGGAGGCAGGAAGGCCTGGATCATCATGGGGTCTTGGACTTCTCAGTCCAGGGCCCCAGCATCTGGCCCAACTCTGGATAGCCCTGGTGCTGGTGAGGAGGGGAGGCTTACTTCTTGGTGCATGCTCATTCAGGGCGTGCTTGAGGAGGCTGGGTGCAAAATGGCGGCAAACACAGGTGAGCAGGTCAGAGAAGGAAAGGAGCCCTGTGAGCACAGCAGAGGGACACAGAGACAGAAGGGAGGACAGGGCCTGTGGTTCTTCCAGAGGGAAGGCATCCTCCTCCTACAGAAGGGCATTGTCAGGGACAGCTCAGGCTCCTGGGGATTGAAGGGGCCCAGGAAAGGTGACAGCGGTTACCACTGACCTTGTGTTGGCAGACCTTTCTGGGGAGATGCTGCACAGTGGGTTCCCTTCTAGCCACAGCTCTTCCAGCTTCAGTGGTCTTTCATCTTGGCCAACTCACAAGGTGACTTCAGTTGAGAAAGATGAGGGGGAAACTGGAGAGGGAGTCCCAGGAAAAGAGAGACATCTGGGACCCTGGACCCCTCAGTCCCCTTCTTCACTCACAGGTTACCTCTGCCTGCCAGTTGCCATCATCCCGGTACACACTACCCCCCACCCCGCACCCAAATTTGATCTGGCTCCCTCCTCTCACCTCAGTTTTGGAGAGTTCAGGATCTTGACATTGGGGGCCTTCTCTATAATGTCAGCCAGGACATCCAGCCAGGACAGTTTGTTGTTGCACAAGTTCAAGGAATATAACTTTGGGGGAAGAGGGGTTATGACAAGGATTTTCATTCAGTCTGCTGCAGCACATAGGTGAGCCACAAACATTTTTAAGGATCATTAATTAGATTATTTTGTACGCAGTTCAAAGTATTGTAAATATATTATTTTTTAACTCTTTTTTATCAGCATAATTTAAGTGTACTGGGGAAGTTGAGCTATAGGTTCAAGTGTGTCCTGTGAGATAAAGTTTGAAAAACACTTCTCTAGGGCCTCAGAGACAAGCCTGCCCTCTATACTATCTCTTCCAGGTCGCTACCTGAGGCTTCACCTCAGGGAAATTTCTCCTAATGATCTGCAGGGTAGCAGCCAGGCAGTTTCTTCGATTGAGAATTATGTCTATATCATGGCCCACCAAGTCTTCAGGAAAGGGAATCTAAAGGCCAAGAGGGGTTCTCCTGGACCAGCGACAGCACTGACCCCCTCCTCAAGTTGTCATCCCTGAGTATTCCTCCCAGGAAGAACCCTTTTGCCCTCACTTACCCTAGAATCGTTGCTGACAGACATACCTGGGTCAAGTAGAGCTTCTGGAGGTCAAGAGCTTGCTGGCAGACATCATACCATTTGTTCATGATCAGCTGCAGGGATGGGTGGAGAGTGGCTCTGAGGTTGTACTGGTCGTTGTGACAGGGAAATTGGGGCCTGGGGCAAGAGGTGAGGCTGCTTTACCTTTAACTCTTTTGAGTCTGCCTTACCTTTAGCTCCTCCATTTATTCTGGCTGCAACTTGTTCTGTACAGCGTAGGGTACAGCAGAAGGACTGACTGACAAAGGTAGATTTCTTCAGGAAGGAGAGGCAGAGCAAGCTCAAGGACTTCAAACCACACAGAAGACGACCAGCCCCTGGCCTGTCCTCCTGCCCAGAGACTAGGTACAATGAGTGCCTTGATCACACACATTTTGGTTTTCCCCACTTGAAATTCTGTAGGTGGCATCCTTCAATGTAAAGGCAGTGGTAGCTGCCTGGACAAAGAATCAAATCCAATTTGCCACATACTAAAAATTCTGAAAGGGGAGGCAACAACAGTGTTAGAATTTCTTCTTCCCTTTTCCCACCTGTATGGCTTCGCCCTGCTCTCTACATCAACTGTAGGTTAGGAAATATTGCAGTGGCTTGAAGTGAATTCAACTCATGTCTTGTTATACTTTATTTTGATAAATCTAAAAGTGAAAAGAAGAGACAGAAAAAAGGCAACATGTAATTAATTCAGTTTTGACAACATATCCAACCAAATGTCATTTTTGTCCTACTGAGCTTTACAAGATTTTTAAATAAGGGATCAATTACTTGATTTCAACTTTTGTCTTTCCAGACATGTATTTTCCACATCTTCTTTTCTATTCAAAACCTCTTCTCCAGATAATCAGCTTAATTTTTTTTTTTTTTTTGTAGTTTTTGGCCTGGGCTGGGTCTGAACTCTGGCATATGGGGCCAGTGCCCTACTCCTTTGAGCCGCAGGCACCACCCTCAAGTTAATATTTTTAAAGGATCTTCCTTTTTTACTGTCACAGGAGATACTCCCTAATGCAGATTCTTTCCATAACTCCAACAAAGACTTCAGAAACTGAAGTCCACACATTTTTCAGTTTGAGAGTAACTGATGTATTTGGCAAGAAGTTGGTCTATTTTCTTGGTAGTAGTTTTCCCTTTGCCATTGAACAACTTCCTCTAGCCTTCCTATAGTTACCCTTATCAATTCCTTGTACCCGCCCTTAAATAACCAAGGCTGTTAACTCTTGTAATAAAAAGAACAGATTTCCCACTCTCTCTGCTCCCATCAAAGTAGCAAGTATTTCTATGAGATACCAATAAGACTGTCTCTGGCCCATCACACCTGTACATGTTTTACACTTTGCTAGCGCACTCATTATTATCTCAAACTAGCTCCCTAAGGTTCCATCCTCCCTGTTCCTACATCTCTCTATTTAGAATATTTATTCTCTCCACATGTTAGTATATGTATGGTCATGATATGTATTATGATTGGCCTCTCCTATAGTTAGATCAGTTGGCATAGGGAATGATGTGGGGAGTGGAGGGAAGGAAGGAGTCCATGAATGCTAGGAAAGTCTTCTACACATGTTTTCCTCATTAATACCACAGCCACAATAAATCTGTCCCATCCCTTAATCCGGTCACAGTATTCTCCATTCTGCCAAGTTAGAGGCAGGAGAATCACATTGTTAGATAAATGGCTACTTACTCTTCTGGCTGATACATTCTAGCCATAGTAACTAGCTACTTAACTATCTTATTCAGTGGCTAACATTGACATCATTCAATGTTGCACCTGCATCTTGCTTCTGGTGGGATGAAGGATGAATGACAGAACTGAATTATTGAGGCCAATTGCCGTACCACCCTGAGAAACATATTTCATCTTGCTCTTTCTTAAAAGCTAGAGGAATAATTAAATTGATCATTTTAGGACAGTGTGAACTGAACTAATTCTTTCCAAAAATGGCTAGAGACCTTTTAAAGGCTGGTTTTTGCTGAGGGAAAGTCACTGAGGGATGTTAAGGGGGGCGGATTGTGAAATTGGGAACAACACATCAATGTTCTGAAAACCAGAAAAAAAGTCCTGGAAAATATCATGGGTAATGAAGCAAAATCACTGCTTTTTATAATCTAGAAAAAAATATATCACGGTTACAAAAGAGTTGAAAAATCTCCCTATAGTTTTACTTCCTGGGATATAAGAAGTTGAAAGAACCCACAGTTTAGGAGAAAGCAAGCACAATGGGAAGGGTGTGGGCTGAGGGCCTCATATTTTACATCCTTCTAAGTCATGATATTTTCAAATATTACTTATCCAAACCCTTTCTTTTTCATGCTGTGCTTCTTTTCTGCATGCTGAGTCACCTGGAGAAATCATCTCCAATCCTTCACCTCTTTTCTTTTCTCTAGAGGAACAATTAAATTTACCCTGAATGTTTGGTGTTGTAGTTCAAAGATCAAAGATTAAGTGTCCCATCTGAAGGAACAATTAGAGAAATGGAGCACAGTTCTGAAGAAAATATACAGAATGAAGCCTGAGGAGACAACATGATGGAGAATGGAGAAAGGGAGGGAATGAGAGTTAAAGGGATATTGTGGCTAAATCTAATGCATGTTTAATTGGAAAGGGAAAAGCGGAGAAATGGTAATTGAAAAGGTTATGATTGAGAACTATACAAGGTAAAAAAAGATACTAAATTTTTATAACAATATAAAAGAAAAATACTTTAAGGAAAAGCATTACTAAAAACATATTTCGCATTGATAAAAGGTCATCTCAACAAAAAGATATTAATAAAACAATTATACATCTCTATGCAACCTCTAATAGAAGCCAAAATACACATAAGCAGAAATTGATAAAAATAAATGGGGAAATGAATAAATCCACTGTCATGGTGAGACTTTTTTATACCTCACTGAATGACAGATAAACAAAATGTTCAGTCAAATGGAGAAGAGTTAAACATCAGGAGTGACAAAATTTAATTTATATAGAACTCTTCACATAACAACTACAAATGGAACATCCAAGAATAGATCACATACTGGACTACAAAGTAGGCATCAAGAAACATCTATGGTGGTCCTACTATCTAGGTTGAATGATTGATGTAAGGATTCAAGGATAATGTGGATGCTCTAGTTCTCCTCTATCTCTCGTACGAATCCTAAGATTTACAATCCCCTCCCTCACTCCAAGTGACCCTTTCCCACTTCCCAAATCTTGGACTTGGAGAAATATCAAAGACAAGACCAGTTAATGTGTAAAGGACAGGTTTGATTTAGTAATTACTGCGATAGGGGAAAAGTCCAGTGTGAACTGAAATAAAATTCCTCCAAACAAAGGCTGGAGACTTTTTAAAGACTGATTTGTGCTGTGAGTATGGCACCTGGGTTTGTTAATTGGCTGTTATCTAGAAGAGAAACAAAATCTTATTTTTATGACAGAAAGCAGTGGTACAAGTTGAAGCAAGGCACCCTGAAGTTAGATCCTTATCCTTTAGCTTGGAACGAAAGCTAGATTGTTATTTCTATGAATGTTTGGATTTCAGATAGGGGGTTTTCAGGCCCTCAAGTAAATAATTTTGGACAGTGAATTTATATCTCAAAAGGCAGAAAAAGGGTGGTGCCTATAGCTCAGTGGGTAAGGTGCCGACCACATACACCGAAGTTGGTGGGTTCGAGCCTGGCCCGGGCGAGCTATAACAACAATGACAACTGCAACAGAAAAAAGAATAGCCAGGCAATGTGGTGGGCACTTGTAAGTCCCAGCTACTTGGGAGGCTGAGGCAAGAGAATTGCCGAAGTCCTAGAGTTTGAGGTTGCTGTGAGCTGTGATGCTACAGCACTCTACCAGCATGACAGCTTGAGACTGTCTCAAAAAAAAAAAAATAAAAAAGGCAGAAAAAGGATTTATAATTTCAAGCGTTCTAACATAACATCTCTCACAGGTGTTTGAGGGGCCTATCTGCCTATCACAAGGTGATAGGAACAAACATTAAATTCTCTTGGCAGTGCTGAGCTTTCCCAAGTGGGTATTTTAAGGAGGAAGGGATCATCTAAGGTATAGGGTTAAGGTGGGCCTCATTAGAGTTTGGTCAAGTATTTTAGTGCAGTTGTTTTTCTGAAGTCTTTACATACCAGGAGATCTGCAATTCTCAGAAGATCATCACATATTTCGAGCTTTTTTTTTTTTTGCAGTTTTTGGCCAGAGCTAGGTTTGAACCCGCCACCTCCGGCATATGAAGCCGGCACCCTACTTCTTTGAGCCACAGGTGCCGCCCTATTTCAGGGCTTTTTCCTATAGCAAAGGGAGGATTCCCCCTCAGCTATGACAACTGCCCTTCCCATGACAACTGTGGAACCATGACAAGTGTTGAATGTGTCCCCAACAAACATGCCTTGGAAACTTAAATCCCAATACAACAGCATTTGGAGGTGAAGCCTAATATGGGATGTTTGGATCATGAAGAATCCACCCTTAAGAGTAGATTAATTCTGATTATAAAAGGGCTGAGGGGGCTCGGTGCCTATAGCTCAACCGGCTAAGGCGCCAGCCACGTACACCTAAGGTGGCGGGTTCGAATCCCCAGCCGGACCCGCCAAACAACAATGACGGCTGCAACCACAAAATAGCCGGGCATTGTGGTGGGCGCCTGTGGTCCCAGCTACTTGGGAGGCAGAGGCAGGAGACTCGCTAGAGCCCAGGAGTTGGAGGTTGCTGTGAGCTGTAATGCCATGGCACTCTACCCAGGGGGACAGCTTGAGGGTCTGTCTCAAAAAAAAAAAAAAAAAAGGGCTGAGGATGTCAGTTTTATCTCTTACCCTCTGCCTTCCCTGATGGGATGACACAGTAAGAAAGCCCTTGCCAAATGAGGGCTCCTTGACCTTGGACGTCCCAGCCTCCATAACTGTAAGGAATAAATCTTTGTTTTTTATGAATTACCCAGTCTGTGACATTCTGTTATAGCAGCACAAAACAAAGGTTTAAAAAATGGTACTGAGAAGTGGAGCTGTCTCTACAACAAATATCTGAAAATGTGGAATTGACTTTGGGAAAAGGTAATGAATAGAGGCTGGAAGAATTTGGAGTAACAGGCTAGAAAATGCTTAGATTGCTATGAATGGAACCTTAAGGGCAATTCTGGTGAAGGTCCTGAGGCACACAGGAGTTAAAGGGAAAGTCTAAATCTTCAGTGGTCATAATCATGATATTGGAAGAAATATAGACAGTAAAGACTCAACAAAAATGGTAATCAAGGTATTGAAAACCAAAGTAAAAGCCATCCTTGACATACAGTTGCAAATAACTTGGCAGAATTGTGTCCATGTCCCAGGACTTAGCAGAAGGCAGCATTTAAGAGTAGTGGACTAGGATAAGTGGCCTAAATAAATAAATAAACAGTAAAGAATTCAATGTGGCATGGCTTCTTTTGGCTACATATAGTAAAATGAGAGAAAAGAGAAATGA